AGCCCCCCCCGCCTTGCTCCCCAACACGGCGGCCCGATGGCTGCGGAGCAACCCCACCGCAGGGCGACCGCGCGCGGGGTCGCAGAGCTCCGACACAGCCGGGTCCGGAATCTTGCAGGGAAGGAATTAAATCCTTAATATTCCACAGTCTTCAACCCAGCAGCGCTGACCTGAAGCTCTCTCTTTTCCTAGCTACGAACTAGCGCCGCGTGCGAAGAACCGGTCCTAAGGGAAACCTCCGACCCGAAGTTCTACCTCGAAGCCAAACTGGAGGACTCCGCTCTGGAAAGGTTCACAGCTACAGCAGGCACGGAAAAAAATATGGCAGCGACCTCTGAACGTGTCTAACGAGACCTTCTCGGGGTTTATAGGAAAGAATTAAAAAGTGTGTGTGCGAGGAACAGTGACACTGACAGGAGAGAGAAGAAGAGTTGAAAAGAAAGGAAAGCGACTCAACATGGAAACGTTTTCCTCCATCTCCCCCAGAGAAAAGTCGGAAATCAACTCACTTTCCCATTGGGCTGTTTTGGGGCACCCTCTTTTGATACGGTTGTTTTAGTAGGAGCCATTTTAGGGACCGCATTGGGTTCAGACTTTCGCGCAGCAGCGTCTGATTCTGGCTTTTTCTCTATTTTCCCCTAGATGGAGACAAATGGATGATTTCAACCAGCAAAAAAGTGCGGGCAGGAGAGCAGGGGAACACAAGATAAACTTCACGGAGCAGACGACCCAGGAGAACTTCCGACACGCCGTAACCCTCGGGCCGAGCCTAACCCCACGCCCAGGAGCAGCAACCGACGGGGGCGGAGGGGAAGCGGCTTCACCCCGACACGGGACGGAACAGGCACCCCGCGGTCAAACCGATAAAGTTCTCCATTTCTCCAGCACCTCGTAGGTGCCCACCATCGGGATCTCACCGCTTCCCCAGCGGCCACGCTGGCAGGTCTCCAAGGACCCCAGGACATCACATTCTGCCCCAAAAACGCAACCCAACCTTTCCGTCACCCAACGGCAGCGCGGGACCTCCTCCCGCATCACGCGGATCTTCGAGGCAAACGCATCCCCTGGCCGATTTTCCTCGCCTCCGAGCTCCGAGGGCTGCGCTGGACACAGACACGCGGTGCTTCCACGGCTGATTTCTCACCCATGCGCTGATTTGACCCAGGCTCTGAGATCAGCAGCTGATTTTTTATTTTTTCCCTCTGATTAATCAAACGCAGGTGGACCTAGCTAATCCCACTAAGCAGAAAACTGAATGAAAGTATACAGGTTTTTAGAAAAAAAAAACCACAATAAAAAAAACCAAACAACCCAGAATAAAAAACAAAACAAAACAAAAAAAAACCCTGAGAATGAAAAATAAAAAACCTGAGAATATCCATTCTTCTGCTCATCTAGATCGAGGTAAGTGCAGCAGAACTTGCATTTTTTGGGGGGAGTTCGCATAAATCCTGTATTTTGCTAACCTACCAGCAACAGAATGGTAAGCAAAAAAAAACCCCCAGCTCTCCTAAGGCAGTCTCATACTCTAAAAAAGCCCCAGCGTAAATAAGACTACAATTTTCTTCAAAAATACAACTGTTAGGATTTAACACTTCTCTGAAAAGGTCTAGAAAATGAAGGACAGTCCAATCAAGCACCAAATAAATCCCCTGAAGCCAACACCACTGCCCTGTCCATCCTTTGCCTGGCTGCGGTGCTGTGCAGCCTGCTGTGGGTGACCCTGCTTGGGCAGGGGGTTGGGCTGGGGGACCCCCAGAGGTCCCCTCCAACCCCCGACGTTCTGGGATTCTGGGATTCTGTCAGCTAAAAAGCTCCGCGACGCTCAGGAGGGTTGGACTAGATGACCCACAGAGGTCCCTTCCAACCCCTACTATTCTGTGATTCTGTGAGCGGAAGCTTCCGACCCCTACGCGCTGAGGGCTGCGCTGTGATGTTGTACAACTAAGATACTCATAACTCCGCGGAATAAATCCGCGCTGCTCTCGACGCTGGCTGCGACACGCAACCCCGCCCAACGACGCCCTTGACTTCCACGAGCCGAGGAGATTACGGCTCCCAGCACGAAACGCGCTCTCTTGGCATCGGATTAAAGCTCTACGCCGAGCCGTCCGCCGCTGCAGACCTGCAGCAAAGATAAGGGGGCGAATTTGTTCCGCTCGGTGGAAATTCGAGATCTCTGACTGCAGGCAAGCTGCTAACACAGCTGCTCAGGCCGAGATGGGTTCTACAATATCCAATAAAGGTTTTATGATTATGCACATCCACAAGATTATTCCAACCCTCAGGAGAGGTCTACAGTCGTATCCCTAAACCGTCCTCATTTCCACGGCAGATATTCACAGTGAAAGTGCAATTTATGACCATGACTGACTGAGAGCCTCAAGTTCTACCTACGCGTACGCTTTTCCCTACGGTTGATTCAACGCGACCCTCTTCTTTTCTTGTGGCCACCACAGATTGTCCAAAGACCAGCCCATGGAGACCCGTTTCGTTTCAGCTTTGGGCCCGACAAGCTGAACCGAGTGCCGGTTCCTAGACCTGGGAAAGGTGCTGCAGAACTTGCTCCTGAATCCGGATCTCCTGCATCGTAGGGCGTTACTCAACCTTCTACCATGCAGCAGAAAATTGCTCTACTCACAGTTTTGGAACATGGCTAAGACTCTGAGCTTTCAATCTCAACTAGTTCCTACGTCAGGACGTCAGACAAAAATCAGCATCACAGTTTTGAATGCCTGCACAACCACTAAACACCGCGGAGGCTCTTCGGGCGGATTCCTTCTGTGCACCACCACCACCGCCTCGTTAACGCCTCGTGCACAAACCAAGAACCCAAAGAGGAGCTCTGCAGAGCGTAAATGAGAAGAGCAGTGAGGACGCAGCCACCAAAATGAGCAAAGAGCACCCCTAACGCTGAAGAGCTACTGTTCCGAAGCGCATACGGTTCTCAGGTTTGAAGGGACTCACCTTTCCTCCACCCGGCTGGTGTTTAATATTATCTGTTGATCCGATTTTGGAACGTACATTTTTCAGATCCGGAGCAGAAACGCTGCTGGTGGGGCGAGGCGGCTTGGAAACGGCGCTGGGTTTAGCCGGAGCCTTAGCGGTCGGTTTTTTAGCGTCTGCTGTTGCGGTCGAGGTCACGGCGGGTTTGGTGGCAGCAGGCTTGGCTTTGGGGCGACTGGGGGCTGCTCCAGGTAAGGTGGGCGCGCTGGAGGTGGCCGTAGGAGTGGTGGCACTGCTTTTTACTGCGTTTCCAGTAGCACTCTTCGGGCGGCTCAAGTCTGCTACAATTATCACAGCAATAGTTGGAGGGAAGGGGGGAAAAACATGGGTCAGAGGTCATTTATAAACTTCCTCAGAGTCCTAAATACGTACAGTGCCCGCTTCATAAACACAGACCCCAAGCAAGGAGGACTCAACGTAGAAGGAAACCGAAGTTACCTGATGGTGACTTGGCAGTGGTCTTCTTCACGTCGGCGGGCTTTGCATCCGTCTTGATAGCTGCCCAACACAACACACACTCGTTAGCACTCCAGAGAGCGGGAGCCCGTTGGCACCCATGAGGAGTCTGCAGTCCCAGCACAGCTTGCGCTGGAGGCCAGGGGCTCTGCGCAGCTCCTCACCCACCAACGCTCCTCTGCACCCACAGCCCCCGCTCCCACCATGCTGCTCCAAAGAGAGCAGCTCAAGAACTTCTGCTCCGTTGGAACACCTGGCTGAGGTCCTCCTCCTCCTGACCGGAAAACCCACTCGTGTTTTCCAGCAAAAGGAGCAGCTCACCAAGAGGATCGCCGTTCAGTGATGTACGGTTTGCATTTTGTTTTCTCTTAAAACAACCTTCTGACTCCGACAGCACTCACTAACGTTATTTTCATCCTGCCCCAATTTCACTTCTTAAAAAAAAAAAAGCTCCTTTCTTTACTAAATAGAAAATTCAACCTGCACTTGTCCATCTATAACCCCGGTATTATTGCTAGATGAGTTCTAACCCATGCCAATTTTCTCACACAGAAGTTATTGCACATGTTTTGGTCCCTGTTATAACTATATGAAACTGAAAAAAAAAAATAATTGATCACTAGACTGAACTACGCCTTTGGGCAAACACCACTCAGTGCCCATGACCTGGTTACCCTCCACAGAGGCAGAGGACAGCCTCGGCCAGGAACGCATCTGTGTTTCTCAAAGCAGGAGAAAACCACACGCAGAATTGATCGAGACGAGAAAACCATACTAAAAAATACAAATAGAACCAAATTTTAAGGAGCCCGTTGATAATGACATTGTAGCTTTTTTAGTGTCAGTGATGAACAACTTTGTTGAAGTGATGATCCCTGCAGAGGGGTCTGGACAGGCCGGATCCATGGGCCGAGGCCAACTGTGTGAGGGTCAACAAGGCCAAGTGCAACGGCCTCAAGCTGCGTCAGGGGAGGTTCAGCTTGGAGATTGGGCAAAATGTCTGTGCTGAAAGAGTGGTCAGGCCTTGGGCCAGGCTGCCCAGGGCAGTGGGGGAGTCCCCATCCCTGGAGGGGTTCAAACACCGTCTGGATGTGGCACCTGGGGACATGGTTTAGCAGGCATGGGGGTGTTGGGGTGACGGTTGGACTTGACCTTAGAGGTCTTTTCCAACCTTAATGATTCTATAACAGAAAGTCTGAGCCCCTGTCCTTCAAGGTCTCCTTTGCTCAACACACTTGGAGAAGCAGGAGTTAACTCAATGCCTTTCTAGAGAAGCAATTGTTGCGGTGACGGTTGGACCTGATGATCTTAGAGGTCTTGTCCAACCTACGATTCTATGATTTCAATAGCCAGAGGAAGGCAACATTAAAAACAAACAATACATGGGAAAAATCTAAGTTAGTAATTATGACCCCCCCCATTTTCTAGTATTTAATATCCATTAACAGTCTTAGATTTTTAGATAAGTAGCTGGCAGGGTACTTTATGGAATACCGAGATAGAAAAGAGCAAGCGAAAGAGGCAGATGACCATAGGCCAAGGTAGCCTGGATCATTCCACCCAGACTCTGCTAAAAGCATTCACTTAAACACCCCAGGTAAGATACTCCCTAATGAGATGAAACACACCTGGATAATTTCATAAGGCCTAAAGGACAGCTGTATCATTAATCCCAAACACTTCAAAAAAAGGTCCCGTCAAACCAACCTAATCTCATTCCTCCAGACCACAGCCTTACCCGAGAAAGCTCTACGGACAGAACAAGATGGGTTTGTATCATGGCAAGAGGGCTGTTACGTTACTTTAATATATTAAAGAGATGTTATTTCTGCTCCTGTCCGTGGGGAGCCAAATGCTGGAACACTTTTATCTACGTTATTCGCACGTGATGTCGAAAACCTGGAGAATCATCAAGCGAAGGTCTATCTTTTGAGACATGCAAAGCAAGAGCAGATGTCCTTCTGAAACCCCATCTTTAGCCAGGAACTTCTTCTCTGGCTCAGCGCTGCGTTACGAGAAACCGAGCTGTGATCAGAAGGGAGCCGGGTCTCCGACGCCTACATCTACGGGTCTAGTTGACGCTGCACGTGCTCTACCTCAACTGAACCATCGCCCTCTCCTCTTCCAAACCAGGACTCCCTTCCCTTCCCGCTCACGACTCCTCTGTGCATCGCCAGCTCCAGACAACCCAGCTCCAACTCCGGATGGAGTTTTTCCAGCTGACCTCATCTCTCCCTCGCCCACCCAGTTCTCACTGTGCTTTGGCAACGTCCCACCGCCCTCGCCGGTGCAGAAGCCTCTTCCTCTGTACATCTCGCCACTTGGAACAACCTTCTCGCATCTCTGCATCGCTGCCTCCATCTCTTTCCAAATGTCATCAGCAAACGCTTCTTTGTTTGGGTCTCAATTTTGGAAGGAGAAACGAACTGAACTCATTAAACCGCAGGAAGCGTTCTGGGCTACAGTTTGCACAAAAGACCACACAAAATGAGGTCTGCGAGGTTGTCCGCAGAATCAGCTAAGACACATGGCTGCTGGAAAGTCCCACACTTCTTCTACGCAGGATTAATTATATTTTCCCCTAGAAAATAAAGTATGGAACGTACACCTAGAGCATAAAGTATGGAATGTACACCTAGAGCATAAAGTACGGAATGAAAACCTGGAGCTTAAAGTATGGGACGTACACCTAGAGCATCAAGTATGGAACGAACACCTAAAGTATGGAATGTACACCTAGAGCATCAAGTATGGAACAAAAACCTGGAGCTTAAAGTATGGGATGTACACCTAGAGCACCAAGTATGGAACGAACACCTAAAGTATGGAATGTACACCTAGAGCATCAAGTATGGAATGAAAACCTGGAGCTTAAAGTATGGGACGTACACCTAGAGCATCAAGTATGGAATGAACACCTAAAGTATGGGACATACACCTAGAGCATCAAGTATGGAACGAAGACCTAAAGTATGGAATGTACACCTAGAGCACCAAGTATGGAACGAAGACCTAAAGTATGGAATGTACACCTAGAGCATCAAGTATGGAACGTACACCTAAAGTATGGAATGTACACCTAGAGCATCAAGTATGGAACGAAGACCTAGAGTATGGAATATACACCTAGAGCATCAAGTATGGAATGTACACCTAACGTATGAAGTATGGAACTAGAGCATAAAGTATGGAACGAAAACCTGGAGATTAAAGTATGGGACGTATACCTAGAGCATCAAGTGTGGAATGAACACCTAAAGTATGGACTGTCAACCTGGAGATTAAAGTATGGGACGTATACCTAGAGCATCAAGTGTGGAATGAACACCTAAAGTATGGAATGTACACCTAGAGCATCAAGTATGGAACATACACCTAAAGTAACGAACATACACCTAGAGCATCAACTATGGAACGTACACCTAGCCTAACGTATCTCAACATAGCTAAGCCCCTACTGTTCTTCTGGGAAGCACGGGTTATGAATTCACGCCCTGGGACTCGCAGAACAAAGCAACCAATATGTATCATGAATTTTACACGTTTCTTGGCAAATTTTGCCGATGAGGTCTAGTCATTTGAAAGCCTTGAGAACATTTAACTGTATTTTTATCTGCTGTTAAATCTCTCAAGCTCCATTGAAAGGGTGCAAATAGTGTTTTTAAGTCGCTAATATGCTGCTCACATTTCTTGCTGACCGTGTCACCTCATGGGAAGTCCCCTCTTTGGCCGCAGCAGGAGTGGAATGCAGTTTTCTGATGAAGCTGATGCGATTTCAGCTCCATCTTCTTCCGGCACTGGTAAAAAAACTCCACCTCTGCTCAACCTTTTTGGTTTTTCAGATGCGCTCGTTTGAGTGCTTCCATCCCTTTTCTGGAGATTTGTTCTTCCCAAGTTTTAAACTGGTTTTAGCGTTTATTATATGGCAAAACACAGAGGTAATAGCATCCTTTGTCTTAAATCAAGCATGTTCAGTAATTGTATTAGCCCTGAATCACGCAGAGCTGATCCAAGCTGGCCCTGAAGGTCACTCAGATTTGATTTTAGAAGAGGAAACCCTTGGGAGAACAAAGTCTGCCCTGCTTCTCTGTGGCTCGACACAGGATTGTGTCTTTTGTTGTATTAAAAAGGCCGACACTTCAGCTACCGCTCAGCTCCAGGTCAGCTCCTGGCTGACGGGCAGGCTGGTTTACACCCCTCCACAGCACCGCTTCACAGCAGCCACGGCTTCTCAAACGGCTGCAGTTCAAGGGCTGCCTTTGTTTCTTTGCCTTTTGAACCTGAAAATCGCAAGCTAGTTCATTAGGAGGGTAATTTTAATAAACTGATGGGGCCACGGGATAACCTAAACACGGAAAAAAGCAGTCAGCGTACTGGAATATGGGAGAAAGACATCTTATTGTGAATCAACGGTGCTCCTCCAACAGAAGCTTGCAGCTGGTTAGAAAGAGAGGGCTCCTGAAGAACAACGGGAGAGTACTCACAGGTTGGCCTCTTGGGGTGAGAAGCAGCAGTGGTTTTCGCACCAGCGGCTGCGGCGGACCGGGATGCCGCCGTTGTCCGAGGAGTAGCCGGGGTGCTCTTGACAGTGGTTCTAGGGGAGGCGGACGAGGGGGGCTTCGAAAGTGAGGTCCGCTTCTCTGCGGTCTTCGCCTCGGCAACCTGAAAACGAACCGGCTACAGTAATGCCAGACTTTCGCCTCGTCAAAGCCTTTGCCAACAAGAAGTCTGAAATCAACTGAAACTGTTGAAATTCCTCAACAGGGAAGCTAGGCGCCACCGAGACGTTGCAATGCAGAAGATGAAGGCGTGCAGAAGCGACTGATGGATTACACTCAGTGCAGGGCACGGAGCACAGACCCCGCCGAGTATCAGCATCCACCCCGCTCTGTCTCAGCGTTAACGCAGATGTGAACGAGGTTTGGATTTCCCAGCAGAACGGAAAGCCTCAGCCCGCCAGCAGCGCTTCCAGGAGAGATTTCACAGAATCACAGAATAGTAGGGGTTGGAAGGGACCTCTGTGGGTCATCTAGTCCAACCCCCCCGCCGAAGCAGGGTCACCTACAGCAGGCTGCACAGGACCTTGTCCAGGCGGGTCTTGAATATCTCCAGAGAAGGAGACTCCACAACCTCCCTGGGCAGCCTGTTCCAGTGCTCCGTCACCCTCAGAGGGAAGAAGTTCTTCCTCATGTTCAGACGGAATTTCCTGTGCCTCAGTTTGTGCCCATTGCCCCTTGTCCTGTCACTGGGCACCACTGGAAAGAGTTTGGCCCCATCCTCCTGACCCCCACCCTTCAGATATTTGTAAGCATTTATAAGGTCCCCTCGCAGACTTCTCTTCTTCAGGCTGAACAAGCCCAGTTCCCTCAGCCTCTCCTCTTAGGGCAGATGTTCCAGTCCCCTCACCATCCTCGTAGCCCTCCGCTGGACTCTCTCCAGTAGCTCTTCATCTTTCTTGAACTGGGGAGCCCAGAACTGGACACAGTACTCCAGATGAGGCCTCACCAGGGCAGTGTAGAGGGGAAGGAGAACCTCCCTCGTCCTGCTGGCCACACTCTTCTTGATGCACCCCAGGATCCCATTGGCTTTCTTGGCAGCCAGCCAAGAAATCTTTCTTTCCTTCACGAGCAGAAACGCTTCCCAAGCTAAGGCTAAAAGCTAAAAGAAACTCCAATGCACTTATTGACACGTCAATGTACGGTATAAATGCCAGCATTCAGGCATCAACTCAAAGCTTCAGAAATAGATCTGACCATTCCCTTTCAAATTTGAATTCTTCTGCTATATAAGTAATTAACAGTGGGAAGATTCATTCATTTCCCGTTCTTAATGTTATGCATGGATACCCTACTTCAGGTTAAAGATGCAACACTAAGAGCTGCCCACAAATCTTCTCGGAGAACTGCAGATCTCCACTATCTCCTAAGCACCAAAGTGTATTATCAGTTCTCTTTGTACACTGTTTCTAATGAGCAGATGTCATCAAGAGACAAATTAGTGGGAAATACTGAAGTGTTCATAGAAATCATAGAAAGTTTTGGGTCGGAAGGGACCCCTGGAGGTCATCTAGTCCAACCCCCCTGCAGCGAGCAGGGACACTGCTAACTCGATCAGGTTGCTCAGAGCCCCGTCCAACGGATTTTTTTCCCCTCAATATTAACATCGAAGCTTTCCATTCAGTTTTCCCCCAGTCTTGTCTGGATTTAGGAGTTCTCCTCTGCTTGTACTGTATCTCTATTTAAGAAACCCTCCGCCTGGACAAGGTCCTCTACAGCCTGCTGTGGGTGACCCTGCTTTGGAAGGGGGGTTGGACTGGGTGACCCACAGAGGTCCCTTCCAACCTCTACCATTCTGTGATTCTGTACCTGTGCTGCTCCTGCCTTTATTTACGTGGTGCCGGCAAATATTTTGGCAGCTTGGTGTGCGTGACGCTTAGAGGCAATCCTTATGGTGACGTCTGAGCGCTTCTTCCCAGTGCTGGGCTCCCCACTTCAAGAGAGATGAGGAGCTACTGGAGAGAGTCCAGCAGAGGGCTACGAGGATGAGGAGGGGACTGGAGCATCTCTCCTAGGAGGAGAGGCTGAGGGAGCTGGGCTTGTTCAGCCTGGAGAAGAGAAGGCTGAGAGGGGACCTTGGAAATGCCTCTAAATATCTGCAGGGTGGGGGTCAGGAGG